CAATAACACTCCCATAAGTCATATATGTATTTCAAATCATATTTGACAATATCCAAACTCTATCCATCATCTAGTTGGTGAGGATTTTAGATATCCATGCTCAATCCAAAATAATAATTATTTAAAAAACCTCATCTGTTTGGATAACATCCATTGAATACACGTTAAATTACTATCTTATCACTACAAGTACTAAAATGAAATATTTATAACATTGGGCCATTAATAAAAACCACTATAAATACTTTAAAAGTTTCTAAAAAAGGCTCATTTATCACATCATGGTTATCATTCAACATCCATTATGATTGTTGAGTTTGTAAAAAAAACCTACTTATAGCATAAAGATTACCTTAATTTAGTTATGATATGGATCAATTCATAGTAAATTATAAATTTGTACCTTTAGTTTTGCAAATTAATTCTTTTTTATTTCAAAAATTAATCATCTAATCTTTTTATCCATTTTATTTATATTTAAAAAAAAAACATAAAATGGACCAAAATGACTAAATAATTAGTTTATAAAGTAAGAAGAACCAATTAATTCATTTTCTAAAAACTAGATGAACTAATGTATAATTTATTGGATCAATTCAAAGGCATTCCTTCTTCTTTTTCTTTTCTTTTTCTTTTTCTTTTTATTTTTTTGTTGAAACAACATCCAAGTATTTTTTTTTAGATTTTAGAATTTGGTCCATTTCTCAATTCCTTACAGAGGACCTCCGAGATACAAAGTGTCTATTTGGCACTATCATGTTTTTAAAAGGGTTTAATGGTAAAAATTATCTCTAAAATATTAGATTATGGCAATTTAAGTTTTTGATCATCAATTTAAATTATTTAGACCCCAAACTATTATTTCTTAGGCAAATATTATCCTTTCTCTATTATCTTTTATGGTTAAAGCATTGATTGTTAACTTGAATGCTTAAACGATGTATTTAAGGATTCTAGTTTTTTTTTTTAATGGAAAAAATTACCCTAAAACTATTGGATTCATGGTAATTTAAGGCTTTTTACTATTGATTTGGGTTATTTAGATCCTAAACTATTATTTTCTAGGTAAATGTCATCCTTCTTATGTTAATTTTTACAACACCGTTTAAGCATTATATTTTTTTTGCAAAATAAAATTAATTTAAAAAATGTAATAATGATTAATACATACGACTTGTCATCCTAATATCTCATAATATGTTGTTTTGAGACAGTATTAAATCGACTGAATTAATTGAACTAAACGGAGATAGAAAAGGAAGTTGTAATTGATCAAATCAAGAATTTATGACCAAGAACAAGGGGGAAAAAGAGATATGAATTAGACCTAAAATGTTGTTACGGAAAATTGTAAGCTCTTAAAATAATCCCAACAATACTTTAATAGTGTAACCTCTCTATGTTAAATTCAATTAATTTAGTTGATTTAATAGTATCTTAAAACAATATGCCATCCATATTAACTATTATTATATTTTTTTAAATTAATTAAATAAAAATAGAATGCTTAAACGATATTGTTTAAGTTTTCAAGTTAACGGTTAGTGGTTTGATAGTAAAAAAATAACGAGAGAAATAATAACATTTATTCAAAAAATAATAGTTTAGGGTCCAAATAACCAAACGTAATAATAAAGATCTTAAATTTCCATAACTCTAATAGTTTGGAGGTAATTTTTACTATTAAAAAAATTAAAATACTTAAACGATGTTGTTTAAGCATTAAAGTTAGCGATCAACGCTCGTATAATCAAATATAATGAAGAAAGGATAATATTTGTCCCAAAAAAAAAAAAAAATTTAGGGTCCAAATAACTCAATTGGTAGTAAAAGCCTTAAAGTATCATAACCTAATGATTTGAGGGTTAGTTTTTGCCATTAAACCTTTTTAAAATACAACTATTTTTAGGCTGGGTTTTTTTATTATCTAAAATTAGTGTTTAGTTAGTATATGTCTTGTTTTAAAATCAAAGTAGGTGTCAGTTTAAAAAAAAAAATTGTTTTACTATTGAAAAAAAGAATGACACCCCTTGCTTCTTCTTTTTTTATTTTTTTATACCAAGTTCTAGCTTTGCATAAAGTTGGTATTTCGTTATTTGTGTTTTGAATTTTAAAGAGGTGCGACATTGTTGAAATTTGGGGTTAGGATTTTTTAGAATTGCACGAAAGCTTTTCAATCACATCTATTGATCATAAAAAGGACCTAGTTAAAATTTGGCAAAGTTCGACAAGTCAAGTCTAGGTTTCGACACTATCCTAGTTGTTAGGGTTTTTGTTTTTTATGTGTGTGAATTTCGACTTATTGAAAAAATAATTTAAAGTGTCCGATTGACCTAAAATCTAGACATCAACTTCATTTAGGCATATAGACTATGTTAAAATTTGAAAATATTATGATAAGATTCATTAGGGTTTTAGCTTGTTATAATATTTCAAGATTTTTGGATTTTTGAATTTTTTATGTTGTTACGTGTTGAATTGATCATTTGTAGTTGTAAAGGTTTAAGTCTGAAGAAGATTTTAATATTTGTGTTTTTGAGTATAGAGTTGTAATAGAATTGTGGTGTTAATACATTAAAAATAACCATGTAAAAATATGTAGGGATGCAATTGTATAAAATCAGGAAATTGTTTTCTCATTCCCATTCCCCATGCTATTTCTCCAATGAGGGTTTTTTATTTATTTTTATTTTTACCTCAACTCAGTGAGTTTCGTTCCGTTGATCAATTTTCTTTCGAGAGTTCAATTGTTTATTTGGATTTCCGAGAGAACAGACACCCATAGCATTAAAATTTGTAAAAACCCTAAAGGATGATCATATAACAGGTGTTAATAACATAACAAGTTAGTCTTAATAAATTCAAAGGTAAAACGAGGATGTAAGCCTATAAAGTTTCTAGTTGATTGTTAATCTAAAATCTTTTTTTTTTTTTTGCCATGTCCTTTATGCAGAACTTGTTTTGTTGTCGTGTAAACATGGGGTTTGGGGATCCAAAATCCTGGCATTAAAATCTAATTAAAGTTTAAAATTTAATCCCCTCCATCACCCGTGACGCACACGAACATCCAACCGATGAGTTCCAACCAAACACGTGTCTCTTCTTGGATCTTTCCCACTCTAGTGTATAACCTCAATTTCATCAAAATCATCAGATTGCTAGCTGCATGTGATTTTTCTTCTATTCTTTGTGTTGGAACTTTGAAAATTGGAAGATAGACAGAACCCAGAAAATAGCTAGCCAATTAATTAGCAGGAGTACAAGATTTGGCTATCTTTCCTTGTGTTTGCGGGGTGAGTTTGTTACCTTGTATTATTGTTGCTACTAGCTTCGAACCATTGCAATGCTTCGAATCATTATAGTTTTGTAACTATTATTATGAGATTTTTATATTTTTAAAGCATCAACGCTGTCCCATTTTTTTTCACATGAATTGCAGCAGAACTTTTTAAATAAAGAAAAGCAATTTCAGATCCTTTAAACCACTTAGAATTTTTTTACTAATGTTTTTTCTTCAATTTTTTTAAACCTAGACAAAGCATAAACCTATATCATATTCCCTCTGTCCAAAATAAACTGTTTTTTTTTTTTAATTTATATTTGTCTCAAAATAAGTATTGGGTCAAAATCTTAAATAATATATTTTTAATTAAAAATTAATATTTTTCTTTAAAAATAAATATTTTTTTCTTATACATATAAATACATTTAATATAAAAATTTTATTTTTTTGACATGAAAATTATTCATCCTTACAAAGACTTTATTACATGTCAAAATTTTAAGAATAAAATATTTTCATTAATATGTTATTTTTTATAATTATTTTTAACTTAATTAAATTAAATTAATGATTTAAATTTAAATTTAATATTTTAATTTTTGATAGATTTTTTTAGATTAATATTGGTTATGTGCAATGCAAGTTAAATTTAATAATTAGCAGTTTTAACAAAAAAATATTTTTTAAAAATATGATATAATAATTGATAAATTTTTTAAATTACGTGAAAAATTAAACAGAATAATTTTTTTTTGTTACCAGATTAACTAATTATTTGATACGCAAAGACTGATGAAATGATAGGATGATTGTTATTTCATATTCCCACATAAACAGGTCCGTTGTTTGAACCTACCAAACCAATAATTTAGCGAGTGCGTGGGGAGTGAAGCAGAGAAAGGACCTCTCTATTAATTTATGAATAAACGAGAAAGGACATCCTATGTGTCATAGATTAAAACCACAAACTCAAGCATCAACGCTTGAGGCATCACGTACAAAAAGTGCACCCAAATTCTTAAATCACAGGATCCTGACTTTTGAGCCCCTAATCTAATCCCGTGAGAGTACGCATGTGACAGATTAAGACAAACATATAGGTGCATAAACCCATAAATTCCAATTTTCACCTACAAATGATAATCCCTATCAAAGCCTTCCTCTTCAATTTAATTTAAAAAAAAACAATTAAAAAAAAATTTCTATCTTCTAATTTACGTTCATTAGGCAGGCCATCAACTTGCTACTTGATTAAAACATTTTCTTGCGTTTAGAGCAGCTTTAGTTGGAATCCCACAGTAACCAGCTTTAGTTATTGATGTAAATTGTGTATGGTGAATCTTTCATTACTTTTTAAGATGTTTATTAAAAATGGGTCACGTGAGTGGTAAAAGTTCATCTGTTCATGTTATTTTCTCAGCCATTCGCGAAAGAGACAGCTACTATCGTTTTTTGTTATGGACCATTGGTTTTGGATTCACCCGTGAATGGTTTAATTCTCTTGTCGTGGACCTACTCCTACAGGTTTCTTCTATTTGTCACAAAGAGCTAAAAACAATAAAGAGTCACGAGAGACGGTACTGATTTTCTTCACATCAACCCACAACATTCATATACTACCAGATCGCAACCACTATATATATATATATATATTATTATTATTATTATTTTTTTTTTGTAATAAGAATATTCTCCTTTTCTGTTTCTTTATGGCCGAATGAAAGAGCAGTCAGGTGATCAGCTAGAAATGGAATCACATGAAATCATGTATGTGCTATTATGTCTAGATGATGTAATATGTATGCAAAGGTGATATCTTTATTTGCCCTGATTTAAGTGGAATTAATTCCGTGATAGAAGGTGAAGTCTCCAATCAAAATTTGATGTTTAATTTAACATGAATGGGACAAAGACAAGTCCTTTAATGACGTGATGTGCATAATGATACAAAAACCTAGCAAGTACTGAGCCGTGAACCAAAATAGAATAGCGGTTGCTATGCATACGAAGGTTGATTGTTTGTGTTCAAAATATGGCTAAAAAACTTATTATAATACGGAAGGGAATCGCCAAGTTCTCTTTCTGCAATAAGTGTTTGGCAGATGTGGTTAACTTGTAAGTTACAACACACAATTAAAAATCGAAATTCTAAGCGTTAAAAAATTGTTTGCCCTATCTTCAGGGCTTTAGATACATACGTTACACAAGCTAAAGCCATACATGGGATCGTTAAAAATCACCCTTTTGTTTTATGAAGAACCAATTTCTAGCTAACACCGGATATTAGGCTAGTCAGCTTTTGTTAGTGTTCCTTACATATGCATTTCATGGATTTTACTTTTGGCTTCAATCGCAGGTAATAACTTTTGTCTCAATGGCTGAAATTTAGTTAGGAACAATTAGCTTAATTATTATCCTATTATTACTTGGTCAAGGTCGACAAGTAAATAAGTTACAAATCGTGGTCGAAAAGTTATTCTTGATGCGTAATTATATTCTATAACGATTTTTAAATAGCAGAAAGGGAGGAACTACAACCACCATCCTTTCGGTAAACAGTTACACAGGCACACTCAAACTAGTTTAAGCTGTGGCAATTTTTTGAAAACTTTTAGATAGTAAACACAATAGCCAAAACTTGAATTCTAACTCCTGATCAATAACTGCAAATAGCTACTAGGATCGGAACTCTTCAATTTTAGTGATCATGACAATCAATGAACTTAAAAGTCTGGATGCATAATAATGGCATGGAATGTTTCCTATGTGATGCATAGATTATGCATGTACAGGATAAGACAAACTTCCTTTATCTTTTTTATTTTTTTTTACTTAGAATAAGAAAAGAGATCTACGTATGAATGCTTGTTATTTGTTTTAGAAGCCTTGCACGCAACACAAGCCTGAAGAACACATTTGGTTTTGGCACCTTGCTCTATAAAACACGGGCTCAAAGCAGTCGCAAGCTGGTGCCACTGAAGATGCAAATCCCTCCCAGTCCTGCCTTAACTTTATTAGGCAACTAAAACCAACAAATATTTTTCTATTAAAAGCGACAAAAATGTTGAAGTGAAATATAAATTATATCCTACCACCTTATTGAATTGTTTAAATTTTTAATTTGAAATAGTTTTTTGAGATATAGTGTTATAGTTTTATCAACTAAACGATTACTGATTTGAATCTTAATGTTTAATGATAGGTCTACACAAATTTCAAAGTTCAAAAATTTTCATTTGAAGTTATTTATTAAATATAAAAAAAATAGCACCATCGAATTAACTAACAACGTAGTACTCCTTGAAAAGCTTAAATTAATCTCTCGTTTAGTGAACTTAAAACACTAATCGTATTGTTGAAAGCATGACGAATTATGTCTTAGAAAAGCGATCTGGTATGATTTTGCTCTCTCCTCTCTAAGTTTTATTTAAACCAAAACAAATTGTGAGAAAATATGATAAGGAAAATAAAAGTTTACATGAAGGCATTGATTTCCACTAAAAAATCAAGTACATTCTACAAAATTTGCCTCACAAGGCCACCCTCCAAATTAAATCCCCAACTGTTATTAGCAAGACAATGATATTTCAATCAACTGGAATATGACACGCGTCAACCATATGCTTCAGAACAATTTTTTGGAGGTCCTTTTACAGGAGTATAAATTAATCCCTTTTGCCACTTCACTTGAGGTCCCTAACAGCTGTTAAAAATTCTCTGTCTATCTCTTATGTTGTTTCAACTTAGATAACAACAGTAGTGAAGCTGAACTTATTACTGTCTTCCATTGGCAAGTATTTGATTTTTTTTGTTTCTTTGCAGTATTGAAAACTGCCTACACTACCATCCTTCATTTCATTTTCATGGAGATCATTCGCGGTATTTTAGCCATTTGCATTGCAGTGTCCCTCCTGCTTTATAATTCCAGCAACGTAGAAGGAAGGCACCATCACCACAAGCCAAAGAACAAAAGCTCCAAAAGTACAGGGCACCGTGTTTCTCCACCCTCTGATGGAGGCCCTGGTCCTCAAAACCCCAAGTCGCCTTCATCCCCTTCTAATCCTCCTTCAGTCCCTTCAGACCCTTATCCTAACGATCCTGGAAACACTAGTTCAGACTGCATTTTCAATGTAATGGATCATGGGGCAGTTGGTGATGGTTCCACTGATGACACTGATGCATTCAGGCAGGCTTGGAAAGAAGCTTGTGGGGTGGAATCTGGTGTTATTCTGGCCCCTTCAGGTTATTCTTTCATGATTACTTCAACTATTTTCTCGGGTCCATGCAAGCCAGGACTTGTGCTTCAGGTAAAAAATTTATATCCATGTTGCTTCTTTTTGTTTCAGTAGAATCTTGCATGTTTAGTCTACCATAGCTTACTGAATATTTAAATGTGATTAGGTGGATGGGCGCCTAATGCCTCCGGATGGACCAGATTCCTGGCCAGAAAAAGATAGCAAAAAGCAATGGCTTGTGTTTTATCGACTTGATGGTATGACTCTCACCGGAGAAGGAACCATTGAAGGAAATGGAGAGAAGTGGTGGGATCTACCCTGCAAACCTCACCGGGTAATTTTTATTTTTATTTTTATTAAAAGTCTGCATTTCATTAATTCTGTATTTGAGCCACATTAACATTTCTGTCGCAATGTGTTATGATTTCAGAGTTCTAGTGGATCCGCATCAAAAGGACCATGTGATAGCCCTGCTGTAAGTGAAAATTATCTCCAAATAATTTAGATAAAAATTGTTCACTTACTACGTAATTTTCCCATAACCTACCAGCTAATAATTTGTCAATCGTTTCAGTTAATTCGGTTCTTCATGAGCTCTAATTTGGCAGTCCGTGGTTTAAGAATCCAAAACAGTCCTCAATTCCATATGAAATTTGATGGCTGCGAAGGAGTTTTGATAGAAAAACTGTCCATATCTTCTCCTAAACTTAGCCCCAATACTGATGGAATCCACATAGAAAACACCAAGGCTGTTGGCATATACGAATCCTCCATTAGCAACGGTATGGCAGTTTCACTCTATTTTTAATCTCTCTATTTCAGATTATTTAACTGCTATTAAGCCATTTCTAATAGTGGATTCCATGACTTAAACAGGTGATGATTGCATATCAATCGGGACAGGATGCTCAAATGTGGACATAGATGGTCTCACTTGTGGTCCCAGTCACGGGATTAGGTACAATTTCTCTCTGTTTCAAGTAAATTGAGATCATCGTTTTATTAACTACCAACCACCAGTTCACTGTGTCAAGCTACTTTTTGGTCTTTTTCCATTTGGCCCCACAACTCGATGCCCATGTGACAGTTTTTCTGTTTTTGATAAATGCCACTTTATCGGCCCGCAACAATATTTATCACACGAAAGTAATCAAAAAGTTGATTTTTTTTTTATTTAAAAAAAAAAAAGCACGCAAGAAATTGGTTTCCACCCACTTCCTTGGGGTGATCATCACATAGCAAAATGTCATTTTGCATTTTTTTTACTACTTTTTTGTAAGAAAAAACTTAGTGTTTCATCTTACTAAGTTATGGCCTATTGATTGAATGTGCTTGTTTTTAATTTTCCACATACAAATGCAAATTCTTGCCGAATTTGCTTATATGGGACTGACACCAAGTTAAAGTCTGCTTCAAGCGTCTAAAACTCTGCCCTTTTTTTTCTTTGTTTTCTGCAGCATCGGAAGCCTAGGAGTACACAATTCCCAGGCATGTGTACGGAACATAACCGTCCGAAATACGGTAATAAAAGAATCAGACAATGGAATGAGGATAAAGACATGGCAAGGCGGCACGGGTTCTGTATCGGACATAAACTTTGAAAACATACAAATGGAGAATGTTAGGAATTGCATGATCATAGACCAATACTACTGCCTATCAAAGGCTTGTCTAAATGAGACCTCAGCTGTCTATGTCACAGGTGTAACATACAGGAACATCAAGGGCACCTATGATGTTCGAACCCCACCAATACATTTTGCTTGTAGTGACACGGTAGCCTGCACCAATATACTACTCTCAGAGGTTGAGCTTCTCCCAGAAGAGGGTGAATTGATGGATGATCCATTTTGTTGGAATGCTTACGGAACTCAAGAAACAGTGACTATTCCTCCTATAAATTGCTTAAGAGAAGGAGAGCCCGAGAGCGTAGGAGAAGTCTCCTCTACTGGTTGCTAAGACAGTAGCACTTGCAATTTGCAATCATACTAGTAGACTAGTAGTTTTGGTTATTACCGATATATCATTGCATCATATAGGATGTTGATCATGTTGTATACTACAGAGCCCAGGATCCATTATCATCTTGTTTTGGGTCTTGATTATTGCCGAGGCTCCATCCCTGTTAGGGTATTTTCCCCTTGTTGTGTGATGATGTAGTAGAAGGGTTTCTGGCCTTTGATTGTGTAATAATAGATTGGAGTGGATTTTTAAAAAATGATTTACAGACAAATTTTGATGTCAAATAATAAGTAGTGAAGTCTAGATCCTATAAGTGATGAATAATTGGTCTCTGATGATAAGAATTCATATCAGGTGTGTCTGTATCAGAATTTTGTTCGTATATTATCACTCTGAATTTTTTTATATAAGGGGTTTTTCACTCTTATATCTCATCTTGTCAACTATATATAATCTTTATCCCACCCGTGACACATTGATTTTTTTCTTTTTTCGTATCATTTTGATTTCATTTCTTGATATCAAATCATACAATCCTAATAGTAAAATTGAATTCAGAATTTTACCATCAGTGTAAAAGATTGAGGTATTAATTAATACACCGTAAAGATATACTTTTCAGTAATTCTTTTTACTTTGAAATGAACTCAAAATATCTCATGTAGTGCCTTTTTTTTCCCATAAACCAACAAAAAAGGTTTAATGGACTTTACTTTTCTTTATAGTCAAATTATCATATTTAAAGTTCAAATTATACTCCGTAGTTTAAATTATGAATACGATTATTATTTTTTTCTTTAACCTCCAGTATCAAATGAAGGACAACAAGAAGTTATTATTAAAAAAAAAAGACAGTAACAAAATTACTCATCAACGAAAAAAGAAGTGGCATATAGAAATTGACATTATCAGATAATAAAGAAATGACAAGTAGGTTTTAGCAGCTTCCAATTTCATTTTTTCAAAAAAAAAAAATGAAAACGAAGTCGTTTATTACCCTCTTGGGTCTTGACCCTACTACTTTTCCCGTTAAGTTACCTCTGAATGTGATGGAGAGAGAGAGAGAGAGAGAGAAACGGATATGGAGAGAGTGAAGCGGAGAAAGCGAAGTCGTTTATTATGTATTATGTATTAAGGAGGATAGAAACGTCAATTACTCTCTGCCATACCCGTTTCCCGGTTGCTCAAGGTATTATGCATAAATACACTACAACCCAGATAATAGTGTAAGCCCACCAATAAATGGGCCAAGTAGGCCTGTCTTTACCATTTTGCCTATAATAATAATAATTTTACTACACGAGTCCATGCCAGTAGAAACAACATGCACCGGAAACGCAGCGTCAAGCAATTTCTTTAAACTTTCGCTTCTGCAGCCACGAAATCGAAATTTGAAACACTCATTCAACCGTCACTCTGCTCTACCTCTTTCTCTCTCCACCTCGTAAGTCTGAAGAAACGATGCCCTCTTTGCAAACTGCGTTGCCTCCTGAACTAGCCAACAACGTAATTAGAGTTAAGTATCATTTCCTTTTTGCTTCAATTAAATTTGTATTAGAAGTAATTATTCAGATCCCTAATTTTCATGGTTTTAATTGCAGCTTTACCGTGAATGTCTTCGACGAGCTAAATATATTGGTCATCAAGTAAATAATTTCTTTCTACGTCTTGATTAACTGAACTCATTGCATCTTGTTAAAAAATTGCAAATTAATTAGATTAGCAACATTCATATTTACTCAACGTCAATTATATGACCAAAATATTCCGAATAGTTATCCAAGATGCTCTGAATGGTCGTACTATGATGTGGAAATGGGATGTATGGTTATCCGAGATTGGCTTCGTTGGCACTCATCAGTATGACCTAGAATAGCTGCTCACTTGGGTGGCATAGGGGTTGGCATGTCAAGGCTTTAAGATTTTGTTTCTTCTTTTCGGTGGTAATCTGTAGTCTAACTCCACCCTCGTGGGTCTTTTTAATTTTCTATCTTGTTTCAATTTAGCCTCTATGATTAGGCTTTAGTTGCGTGTGTTAATATTTGTGTTTTAATTCTTGTGGCAGCAACATAACACAGAGCTTCTTGTCGATATGGTAAGACAGCAGTTTAAAAGAAACAAACATGAGACGGATCCAGAGAAAATTCAAAAGTTTAAGGATGAGTAAGTTGAAATTCGCTTTGTTTTGCACATTGTTAATCTTTAGCTCTTTGTTGTGTTTGTTTCATTTCTTGTATTGTTTATTTATATGTCAATCTTTTAGGAATGGTTTCGCTTGATTTAAATAGGTATCGGGGATTTAGAAGCAAATTTTTATTAGACTACGAGGATGTCAATTGAATTGTAATATATTTAGAGTGCAAAGCAATTCCTTATTTGATTTATTTGGTTGAATTAGCTAACTGCATTTTTGGATGCACACACTCTGACTTGCAGTTTGTTATTCTTTTATTTTTATGGGAACATCACTGTGAGTTTGATGTCTTTTCTGTGCTTGCAGTGCAGCGAGGGGACTTATAAATCACATACTCTATGAATCTGAGAGGCTCTCTGGTCATAAAGTGAGCAAGAGTGCTTGATGTTTCTTCAGAATTTTAAATGGAGAAATAGGGTTCAGGGTGCAGTTGGTGAGTTAGAGGAAGTTTTTGGTTGTCGATTAGATAATCAAAGAGATTTTTTCTTTATCATGAACAACTGTTTATGACTGTCATCAATCTTTTGAGTGTTCTAGGATCATAGCTTAATGAAATTTGCATAAATGGAAAGGTTTTTTCATACTGGCTATGCATGCTGTTTTCATGATTACCAATTAACAGTAATGGGGTATACTGAATTGGTGGAGGGGATTGTGGTAGTATCTCACAGTTTGCAAAATAATCAAGACATTGTTTCTTCAGAGTAGTTTATATGCCTTATCATGCACTGAGTGACTGTCGAAACTGCATTAATATTCTTACAGTGTTGAGGCTGTGAAACTCCATGCTGGAGGTGATCGCTTACTGCATATTATACTTTTTCTGAATTTTTTTATTCAAGAGTCTGTCATGGATCTTGTTCAAGGTTCCATCCTCATTAGTTTTGTGTACTGGCTATCGTTATCATTGTTATTTAACTGAGGCCCTATATCTTGAAAATTTAAACCAGTTTATGAGTATCATCAATCTTTTGAATGTTCAAGGATTATATGCTCAATTAATTTGCATAAACATGCTGGGTTTGTGCTTTTCTTGAGTAATCACTAAACAGTCATGCTGCCTGACAACAGGGTGAAGGGGGTAAGCCGGTTAGCTAAAGTGGAACTGGGGGTAGTTTTGATTTTATCTCGTAGTTTGCCATATAAACAAGAGTCCGGGACATGCTTTTCCTTTTATGTCTTGAACTTTAATGCCTTAGTTGGCTTTTCAAATCACGTCATAAGCCATTCATTATCTTCGAGGGAAAAATAGTTTCTGGTGTTATTTGTGTCCGTGGAGAGTTGCTGAAACTGGATTCCAGCATAGAGGTGGTGCAAATTGATGCTGAAGAGGGGTTAAGTCACCCCGTCCCCTTTTTTGGATCTTTTGATGCAGGAGATAAGCCATTCCTTTTGATATTTGATTCCTTCTTCTGCTTATATTTGGCTCTCTTGCTAGCATTATGTGCTTGCTATTTAGCTGTGAAAGTTAAAACCAAGTTCAACCAAATATAACTAATTCTGCAAAGTTTCATCTCTCTTTTCTTTTCCCGTGAACCTGGCACTGAAGTCAGATGATGGCATGAATGAAACCACAAGTCTGGGAACAGAAAGATTCGAATGGGGGGAAGCCATTGTACACACCCCCACGTTGGTTCCAGTATGGACTTTCCCGTGATGAAAAGCTCAAACCAGAGCATTTCAGTCACCACTTTCCTCTCATTTCATCTGTTCCAGCCTATTTATTTTCCCTTTTGCTTAAGCATTTTCATCCTCTGATCCTGACTACTGTTCTTAGGGATGGCAATTTAACCAGTGAGGGGACGGAAAAAGTCGTAACCTAATAAGTAGGTTCAAAGAAGCAGGCATGTAAATCCTAGAAGGATACTATTCAAACGAATCCAAGTAGATAGGATTTTTTCACGGATTGTTACTATTTTGGATTGGGTATGAATATTTAAATTATATGCTGACTAATAGATAGGATATAAATATTATCAAATATTTATAATTTTTTAGTAAATATAATATTTTCATACCTCAATATTAACATTATACAACAATTGATTATAATTTTTCTTACATTTTTTTTTTAAAGTTCGCATAATAAAAGTAGAGAAACTTCAATAGGAAGAAGTTAAAAGCTTCATGCACTTTATTATGTCTCTGTCTTTATCAAATAGCGTGTAAATATACATCTTCCTCTCTCAAAACCCTACAAGTCACTCCACATAATGGATTTCAAAGTAATTGAAACTTTTGATGTAGCGAACAAAAACGGTAAGTACTCACAAGTTATTGATCGATTGAGAGTTTAGTTTCGTAAACCCATTCTTGTTAATGCTAAAGTTGGAGAGAATCAAACCTAGAGTTTTGATGTCTCTCGAGTACGAAATGAGTTCAAGAATATCGTGTTGATACAGTGAAAAGAGAGTAATTTTATAATATACAAAGAGTAACTAGTGATATGCATAGTAGTTATTTTATGAATCTACTTTGAGAAAATAGATAGATAAAAAAAAAAAAAAAGAGAGAGAAATATGAGAAAGAAAATTAAAAAAAAAATTTGAGCCAACGAGAAAATTTTCTTATCACTTTTTGTGGGTTCAAATGTAATTCAATATGTCTCTCTCTTCTCAATGGAGTAACTATTGTACATACTACTAATTATTTCTTGTGTATTATAAAATTTCTCTTGAAAAGACATTAACTCTAACCATTAATTTGAAAAATTTATAACTCATCGTTTTCAAGAGTTTGGATGGAACTCTTTGCAAGTTTAAGGACAAAAAATTAATGGAGACTTGATCAAACGAGATGAATTTGAAGAGCTGCTGTGTAATTTTGGTTGAATGAGGGAAAGATTGAAATTTTGAGGTGAGGGTTTGGACCACTCTGCACGTCCATAGATTTTCTTTACAAATGACTAAATGAAGGATAATCAAAGAAACAAATTGGATATCATCTCGCAGTTACTGTCCAAATGATTTGTGAAAGCATACATTTTCGTATTGTTACATAAAAAATAATAGCAACGGTTTCAAGAATATTATGCGAGATAATCTAAATGATTTGTGAAAACATACGTTTTCGCATTGTTACACAGGCTATTATTATTCAAAAATAGAGGTTTATGCGGACTGCAAGAGTGTCAACGAAACATGACTGAAAAGAAGAAAATGAAACGAGATTCAACTGCTAAATGTATCTTCTTGTTGTTATTAAAAAAGAGTGGGTTACGTGAACAACTGAAGTGTTAATTAAACATGACTAGTTAATTGAACTTCACAAAAAAGAAGCAAAGTAAACGATATTCAACCAAAACAATAGACCAACCCATCAATTGGGCAAAAAATAAAAAAATTGGGGGTACATGGATCTTCTGGAAAATCAAAATAATATCGATTCTTTTAATTCTTGGATTATGAATCTATAGATGTCTTTTACCCTATGATGCATAATGTGATTTGCCGGTTAATGTCACGCTTTGTCGCCATACTTGTGATCTTTTATATATGAATGTTTCCTCTGTGTAAAATTTTAAATATTTCCCCTGTACGCTTTTTTTTGTTCATGAAATCCGTACTTATATTATTAGTTTTGTTAAGGATTATACCTTTCCGTTAACTTCCATTATAATTCCCACACGTCAAACATGTGTGCAATGAATTCTCACAGAAATCCACTTGAAGATTAAAAAAATAAAAATCCAAATTAAACAAAAATATTTTGTCGAATTAAATGTATAAAAGGAACATAAATAAAAACAAGCGCATTATTTTGAAATAAAAAGTTTGAGTTCTTGTGATGCCAAAAAGCGTGGAGATTGAATTGCATCATGCTATTCATTCTAACTATCAGATGCAGATAATTACATTAGCTAAAAAATAGCTCATCAACAGACCCACTAATTTGCTCGGTTTAATACTAGTTAATACATGTGGTGCTATGCTAGAAGAAAACTTGCCTCATTTTCCATATAGAGGACTTGTCAGACAAACAAAATACCAAGATTTAAAAAAATTTGCAGTGTAGATAGGGGAGGGGAGGGGGTGAATGTAAATATTTATGATCAGATTATAGAGACAATTAAAAAACTAATCTAAGCATCTAATTAAAAGAGAAGATTAAACATCTTATAAATTTTGTTTTTTTCATTTGTCTTGTTGTACGACTTTATAACTATACATGAGTTGATTGTAATTTATCTAATTATTAATGATATTTCTTTAAAAAATTTCTTCATTATGGAGAAAGAAGAAAGAACCCAACCACTAACAATTCCTTCTAAAATCCATCTCTCTCTCTCCCTTAACAAATTTGGTTCTACAATTGAGTTTCTTTGGCTCTTTAAGAGTAGGATTTTGTTTGATTTTGTGGAATTAGATATAATTTTGTTTGTAAATTATTTAAATAGAGTGGCAAAGTAAAAAATTTGAAGATGAAGAGAGAGGATCGCAGGGTAGAAGAAGATTTTATTTTTTCTCTTTTTTATATATTATTCCAATTGAATTTTTTTTTTTTTTTGTAATTAGAGTTTTTTTTTTTAAATTATCAAATTTTCTAATTTCCAAATGTATTTTTGTGAGAGCTAAATCAATGTTGACACGCAGAATTCATTATATGGAAGTGGACAGAAGCAGCAGTAGAAGGAGAAGTTTCGTACAGGAGTACGTGAATTTGCATTTAACATAAGGTAATGATGTATACTTTTATATACGTGTCTTGCGCTCTCGTATTATTTATAATGAGAACACTATATTTATTTTCTCCATACCAAAAAAAAAAAAAAAAAAAAGAACTTGTAGCCTCTTGAGGGTGTGAATTAAAAAAAAATTAATGCATTGCAATTTCATTTTATGTGACATTTTCTTCCATGGTTATATGATCTATTTTTAGATTTATTGTGTCTACTGATTTTTTTGTTCCCACTAAATTCTTTATTTCTACTCCTCCCTTTGATCTCTGGGATAAGAACTTGTATTTTATCTTTTATCACTTTGCTTGTCTTATTTCTTCACTGAACAAGCTGCTATCACTTTTTTTTTTTTTTTTTGTCTTGTTTTTTCATTGAACAAGTTATTTTTAACCACAAATAATGACAAAATATCTTTCAAACTAGAATTATCAAGTGTCACAATCGAGTCTCCCAATTGTCTAACAAAATTCACTAAAAGAATAGTGTTTGTAAATAATCATCTAGCATTATTTTTATTGTTATCAACTGATTAATCAAATTCTAAAAACCGTTCAAGTGTTTAACAATAGACGTTCCATCTTTGTATTTCAAATTCACGAGCTTCATGATCAAGGAAGTTTTATTCCGTGTAATCTGCCTTTCATACATTTCTGTAATTTTTTCTATGGTTCTTGAGTATCCGTCTCTTTGATACATAGTGAAACATACTATCATTCACATACTATCATTCATTCACTATTTGATAGTTCCAATAGATTTTCTATACTCTTTTTTTCAAATATCATCCGTCTTGATAGTTGGTTTGGTTTTACCTAATTCAATTAGATCAAACAAATCATGATAATAAAGTAAATATCTTATCTTCTTTTCCTGACTTCGACAAATGATAAGTGTGCAAAATATATATACATGTATAAGCTAAACAGGAAAAACAAAACAAGAAAATAATTTTTTTCTTTCTAGTTTCATGGTGGCCTTTTTCCTATTTAACTTTAATCCTTTTCTTAATTATTTTTTTCTCAATTAATCTGTTTGCTAATTAATTTCTTAATAGGTTATGCACGTTGAACTTATAGTATACACCCAACAACTACACTGATTAAAAAATAAATACCGTACCAGCTCACATCAAGCCTTTTCGAAGCACTTCCACGAGACCTACTAAACTTGAATTGTTTGTATCTATTTTTCTAAACCAAACGGATAGTCATCCCAAGCTAAGAACAGTCTGAAGTTGAGAGGATTTCATTTCTTGAATCAGAGGAGAGGATAAGATCCTGATGAGTAATGCTTGTTGCTTCTGCTAATTGCATGTGGACATACTAATTAAGTAATATGGAAATGGTTCATTGCTTATAATCAACCTTTAAGGTCAAGAAAATATCACTTCGTTTGAACAAAAACAATTTTAAGTTCCATCAATCGAAGTCTTAATTGATGAAATTTCTGATTTCTTTCCTAATATTCATTAAGCTAATCCCTGCCTATAATTCCCTTTTTTTTTTTTTTTTTTGTGTGAAAGGACGATAAAATCAAAATCAATTCTTGATATTGATATCAAAATCATAACCACCCTTTCCTAAATTTGATAGTCTTGATTCTCCGGTTCTCGGACTAAATGGTTCTCTTCCACCTGACCGAGGACTATAATCCCCTCGCAGTTCACTAACTCGTGGGCTATGCACCTTATCAGAAAACCTGGGGCTCTGAACGTTCTTGAATTCCTTCGATGGTGTCGCATCAGAAGTTGTGACTTTGGGGCTGCACATGCGTTTGATCTCCCCTCTGCTTCGCGTGATCATCCCATCTAAAATCTCTCCATCATCTGCAAATGAAGCTGTCCTACTCATCTCTGCCTCCTGATATCAAACAATCAATCAATCCCGCAACATAAGTTGCCATCAGGGACGTCAATCATTTCAATTACATTAAAAATACACAGGACTATTCAGTTGAATGCACATGATTGTGACATATATGCAGGTAATAAAATTATAATTTTTTTCTTCATCTGGTCAAATATTAACGTGAATCAGACGTGAAGGTGATAAAAGACTGCTTGTAAGGAGAGAATAGAAAGCTTACAGTGGCTAGATTGAATGATAAAGCTGGAACTTCTTCATATTCTGCTGCATCCAAATCCTGAAGGTGCACTGCTTTGAAAAACTTGGGCAAAATGTATTGTCTCACAGGAACCAAAAGCATGATCATCAAAGGGAAAAGAACCCCAGCAATAGGAACCCATGTAATGCCAAAACAGACAAGCAGATAAGCAGTCTGAAAAACAGTAAATATCGCAATTGTCTTGAAAGGTACGCTTTCCACAAAAGTGGTATGATACTCATCCAGCACTCTGAAAAGGTAAAAATCAAGCAGGCAAAAGGAATAAATTTTAGACTATTTTCTGAGAAAATCAGAGAGATGGATGAGATAAAAAGGAGGGAGAAAGTGGTGCGAGTTGACTACTTGTATCTCCTGCTTGGAGCAGTGAACAGCAGCAAGATGCGCTCCCAGAACTGATTACCCGGCAAGCTTTCAATGGCCATGAATGCAAAATAACCCCATAGTACTGAGGTTGGGATTTTCTTAATAAAAGGCATGGCTGCTACGCATCCTCCGACCATCATAGCTTGAAGCAGGTTACTGACCCGTTGTTCTTTCACCTCAACCGGTAACAAATCATCAATCTGCTTCTCAATGTCAAATACTGTCTCTTCTACTGGGGCATCAATATTTCCCGTGCTTGCTATCATCTGAGTTGTTGACTCTTTCAACTCCTTTAATCCCTGCTCATGCAGCGTGCCAAAAAGTGTAGGGAACTTAACAGTCAGACCCATACTCATCGATCAAACTTTAGAGAAAAATATATAAGAACGAAGATTATTTTGCTGCAAATTGGATACACAATTTGGTCGTCAACAATAACCTTTCAATGTACGGAAGAACTACAAAAGAAGAAAACATGTGAATATACCCGAGCAGAAGGTTCTTGGTAAATTAATGGGGTCTGCATATGTTGATATGCTTCTTGCATGCTGCCATACACTTGCCCAAGACTTGCATTCTTACCCATACATTTGCGTGCTATTGCCACAAGTCGATTACGAAGTAACTGCAAATGACATACAAGATTAATGTAAACGACGAAGCATTTCCCAGTGATTTGTGCATATGAATATCCATGTCATCTAGCACATTCAATTTTTCACTTATTGCTCTTTGGGGATTTTAGGGACACATATGCTGGTGGTAAACATGAGATCTCAGTCAGAGGCTGAGGAATGGAAAGGAAGAATTACAGACAATAAGTTGAATAGTTGAGATGCATACTTGGTGCTTCAGTGTAGCTAATGTCTTAGTATGCATTGGAGATTGTGGAATGACACCATTAGATGGAGGGATCCCAATTAGACCACACAATATGACCTGCCACAAAATTATGATATTTCAATATTTACCGGCACCTTACTTTTGTCATGTATAAAAGTGAAGTACAACAAAAAAAAAGAGTGGTTTGCATGAGAGTGGAATTCTTATGTACCATAAATCCTAAGAGAAGTAGATCATAGTGGAAAGAAGGTGGTTTTCTCAAATTAAATTCTCTCTGTTGAGCAAGCTGAGATGCTACACTGTGGTCAAAATAATAAAGGACTGCAATCATTGTTGCTGGAATGAATGCTCCAATTATATAGAGAACAGGCACACTTAGCATATCCTGTCAAGTTGACGCATGAAATGTTAATATGAAATTTGTGTCAAGGAGAAGGGAGAATTAAAATGACTCAGATAAAATGACCCTTCTATCAATTAGACATGCCTTCATGACAGTCCAGTTTTCATATGCGCCTGGTGACCATGGATTTGGGCTATAAAGACGCCTCGGGATTCCTTCTGGAACACTTCGTGATGGTATATAAGAAACAGCAGTCCAGACCAAAACCATCAATGGCACCCCATAATCTGCTATAAAGCCTCGAAGCCATCCTGTGAATAAGTTAATAATTTTAGTGACTTGATGATTTTGAATTTTTCACCTTGGGTATACAGACATGCAGTTTGGTGACTGGAAGTTTCACTTGAAGATTCAATATGCTTACCAGAACCATAGCGCCAAGACCTAGCTTTCCTGCTCCTCAATCCAGTCAGCAGAAGTCCAAATGACAGTACCAAAGCAAACAACCCATTCGCAAATCTCCATGAGGGTTGAAACTCAACTGACCTCGGATTCTCTCTTTTAGGTATACCAAACTCATTGACAAGTCCCTAACAAACCCAAATTTGAGCAAAATTGTAAGGTAATCCACAGAGGCTTTGTATGAACTATGAACAACAGAAACTAACGAAATAAAAAATCAACAATAGAAAAACTCAAATCTTGTGTAAGTTAAAGTAATTGTTTTACTAAAATCTTAGTCACTTTAGAATTGAAGTAATTTTAGTGAATTCCTTTGCTTAGCCAATAAAATAGATGAACACATAGAGAAAGAAATAAGATTGGTTTCCTTACTTTTATAGCTTCCTGCATGAAAAGCATGGCAATTAGAAGGCCAAACAATTCTCCTGCTAGACGAGTAAATCTATTAATGATTGAGCATGCTCCTAAGATAGCCAGCAGAAAGAGCAAGATAGCAGTCCACACACACACCCTGCCCATCAGAGTAACCATTTAGCGCTAAATGAACATAAGGCAGAATTAATAGAGGTCTCAAATGTCATAACGTTGAATTCAAGAGAAGAAAATAATGATTCAATCTGCAGTCAGGAGTGTAAACATTACCATCCACTCCATGCCAGGAAGAGCTTTGATCCCAAATCAGGTCTGCCTTTAGCAAAATTGAACATGAATGTATACATAATTACAGTTGGCTCTGCCACTCCAAGGATCAGCAAAGGCTGACCCCCTATAATGGAGTGAATAATTCCACACAATGCAGTTGAAGCCAAGGTTTGGACTGCTGTGAGAACCCCATCTGTCAATAAAAGGAAGTGAGAACATGAAAGGAAGTAAGAACATGATACATATACTAACAGACAGATGTCCGTTGAGAGTTTGCTATGAATTTGGAGCATAACGGTTTACCTGTATCTCTATCCAACTGTTCTCCAAATGAAATGACTGGAATTGCTGATGCAAAAAATATATATGTGGTGGGGGCCAAAATCCTACAAGAAATTTGAGTAAGAATCCAAGCCGCCATTATTTTCAGACAAAATTCAGCAACAGAACTAGCAATTGAAACAGCCAGGGACTTTCACATAAGACCACCTTCAAAGCACAATCCTACGGTATGATTTGAATATTAAAGTTCTTATGTCATGTCAATAGATACCTGAAGCCCGCCTTGAAACCACCAGTCCAGTCCTGCTTGTAACACATAAATCTCCCCCGAAGATCATTCTTGATTCCGTGAAATGGCACAAAGCTCTCTTCCATGATTTCTTCTATGACCAGGGCAGAAAATCACCTCCTTTTATGCTTCAACTATGTGCCCAAAACACGAAGTTTTCAACAAAGAAGCTGCATTCACGGTTGCGTTTCAGATGCAAATAACGTTGGCTAAATTTGCAGGCATAGACAACCTAAAAATTTCTACCCAAAAAACAAAATAATAAGCAAAATCAACTATCGCATTGCCAGGTTGTTAGATGCATGTAGTAGCTCCTCTTAATTAAACAAAAGTTTCTCTATAACACAAAACATTCAAATCTGTGCACTTAAGTAAATCAAAAAACAAGACAGCCATTGTATGAGGAGTAAAGTAAAGCTCAACCAAGAATCAAAAAACCACCATTACATCACTGAATACTGAGGATAGATGTGTTACCCAGGTAGCCAAACAAGCAACAAATAAATAAACCTAAATAATGAAAGCAATTACATATAACTTGGCTAAAAACAAGACAGCCATTTTATGAGGAGTAAGCCTTTACCTTGAAACAGCGTGGAATCTTGGACACAGAGAAGGATTGCAAGGAAAGCTCCAAATATAAAGACCTGGAAAGGGAACACTGTAGATTTGATGCTTACAGTAATGTGGGTCAAAAGGGAATGAAAAGAACATCGCTTTCAATTACTCCAAACAAAAACCTTATAATAAACAAACCCCCAAAAAAAGAGCTAATAATCAAGAAAAGGAACGACATACTATGAATAAATAGTATTACAATTAAAGTAAACTAAAAAGGGATCCAAAGTAGAGGCAATGTAGAAGTAGAATACTAACCAACTCAGAAGAAAAGAAAATGCGAGGGAAAGAAGGAAGCTTTTGGCTTGGCTTTCAAAGTGAGAGAGAGAAAACTGATAAAGGGTTGCTTTTTCATGTTTCTGTATGCATGTGTATTGTTATATGTCCGTGACCGCGTCCGCGTCTGTGTCTGTTGACTCTCTGTAAGAGAGTGTGCCAGTCCATGACAAGCTGGCTACAAAGAAGCAGCCAAAGGACCTTCACTTGCTGCTCCTTGTTTTCTTTTTAAATAATGCTCCTTCTCTTCTAAGAAGACTGTCTGTCTTTTTAAATGCTATATTTTATTAAAATAAAATAAAAAATCAATTATCTTTTATATTTTTATTTAAATAAAAAATATTAATATAGCAGTATAATTAATACAACAAAAATTTTAAATTATGAAAAAAAAAAAGACTATCACTTTAGGGGAGTATTAAATTAGCATAATATATCCTTAAATTGTTAAACAAATATATCCTTGAGCATATACCGTATCATTATTGGAGCACAAATTGCGGTGTAGTAGTTTATTAATTAACTAGACAATTAAACTTTCATGACCCCATCCTGCATTGTTATTTTTTATTTTTTATAGGATGTCTCAAATAAGAATCTATACCATCTTTTTATTTTATTTTATTTTTTATTTTTTATGATTTGTGCTTTGACTCTCTATGGTTGCATGTCGGATACAAATTAGCATTTTACAGGCGGTATTAACTGGTGGTAGTTAAGAGTTTTTGTTTTTTACATTATCGTCCAGAATTCACACAAAGGGAAATTTTTTGCTTAAATTTATCAATATTAATATAATAGTCTGGCTGAAAATTAATCGAGAAATACAAAATTTAAAACAAACACATGCTAAACATAAAAACAAAAACACTTTGTGAATCTTTTATTACTATTTTATTCAAGCTAGATCAAAGTGGAAAATGATTCAATAGATCTCTACACCTCCTTTTCTGGTGGAGAAACGGTGCCCATTGACAACATGTTGTTGGCATTTCTTTTTTGAAGGATTTTTTTTTTTTTTTTTTCACTCATATGGAGGTTTAAAGAAGAAAAAAATGGTGTTTGTAATCTTGTATGGTTCTCTGTCATCCACATCTCCAAAAAGAGTCATGACCCATAAAAGATAACATAGTGTATATCCTTAGCGGAAGCATGATGATAGATAGCAGTGATATGATTTAAAAATGGTCATGATATGATAAAAATTTGATGCGTTAGGTTCATTTCATCACTTCACACTAAATTTTTGGGGACCTTAATCTCGACCTTCACTTTCGAAGGAAGAGATTAGATTCCAATTTTAAATAGTGGAAAAGTTTTTAAAACGTTTACACAAATTCTGGCCTACAAGAAGCCATAATGACAAATATGGCCCAGTTAAGGTAGGAAAAACATAAAAAATCTAATACAACTGCCAAAGAACAAATCAGTAAAAGCAAGTAAATACAGCAATTCCATGTGAATATTCTTGCATTAGGTCAGTTGAGGAGTATTAATTTACCGTAAGTCCAGAGCAAAGATCATTTGAAGAGAACGTATGTCCCATCCTTTAATTTTGTCTCCCACAAAACTGAACCTCACTGAATAGTCCAAAGGTCTTGAATCACAATAAAGCCTTTCTGGTGCAAAAGACAAACTCATATCGCCAAAGTTGGCTGTATCATTTTGACCCAATCAAGCAATAGGTCGAAGTGGTAGGCCATCCTTTTATGGGTTGGTAGCTGTGGCCTTTCCATTTGAGTGGCTAATAAGTATGCCCTTTGTGGGCCTTGACGAATGTAAAGTGCACCTGACTTCTCAAAGTCACTCGTCAAATTCAGTACCCTTTCTCTCTCTGATCCACGTCTTCCTAACTTGTAGGGTTTTTTGGCTCCCAAGTTGGAATTTCAGAAGTTCATATTACTACAAGACCCATATGAGTTTAATGCTAGGAATTTTAAAATGTTAAATTTACATACACAAGCATAAATACAAGTTGAAGATGATGACCACCAACAGTCATGTTACTGCTGCTTCAACTAGACACCATTTTCCTCCAAGAATTTACGGCTTAAGAAGTTATTATGAATAAACACATCTTCAAGCACAACTTGTTCCGGTGTGGATGCAATGCAGCACAATTGGTTAGATAAATATAACTTTTGGAAATTACAGATAAGGATGGTGAAGTTAAGATATATATAGAGGAAAAGATCCTCTTGTTTTTTGTGATCACAAAATCCTGTAAAATCAGATGACAAATAGATCTCTAGGACAGAACGAGAAAAGAATAATCACGGCAATCCACGTTTGCATTACTTTTCGTATGATTGACCACAGAGGCAGTCTTATTACTACCTCCTGCGACTAGCAACTAAATTTTTATACGCGTAATGATAGGGAAAACCTGAGATTTTTACGTCTCACAAAAAAACTAATCTTCATGGTTAGCAGAATAAGCATACAAGGACAATGATTACCTCTTTCTTTCGATTGTACTCCTTACACGTTGCAAAACACGAACAAACTCATTAAACAACGTGAAGTCAAAAATATGTTGGCTTTCTACACCTGAACCCACTTTGGGAATTTTCGATAGCTGAGTAAAAGAGTTTTGACAGATTACGAAGTCAAAACAGCCAAACTTCTCCATCAGTCCTTCAACTGTATTGCTTGTTAGCTTCCGAATATCTGCTATTTGCTCCAACCGTCCAGTCTGTCCACTGCTGTTCCACCACCTCTTTAAGATCCTTCGATTTGTTTCAGAAGTTTCCACAGAGACGACACCTTTCAAATGAATGCCGAGACGATGTAAAGTAATTTCTGCACCACCAATCCCACTGAAAAGTGACAACACTGTTATTCCCTGTGGGAACATTAACTTCAAAACCGAGAGATGGTACCCCAATGTATCGGTCTGGAAGCTATATCCGATTGAGTACATCCTTTCAGTTAAAGAAATATCAGCAATTAGTGTGTGATTGAATGGGTATCCCAGAATTTTCTCTAAATGAGTGGGCTCTATAGGGGCTAGTTTGTTCGGGCCGATCCACATTAGGTTTAATGTCTGGCAATGACGATGGAGGTCTCTCTGCTGTTCGGCTGAGAGCAAACCACGAGAATCATCCAGCATCCTTCCAAGCATATCACAGAGCTGAGACGATCCACTGCTATCAAAATTTCTGCAGATTAACTTCTTCCTTGCATCCCATGATGGCCACCATTTCTTTGTACTTGGCGTCAGATCTTCCAAGGTAATTGGTGGCTTTGGAAGGATGTGAAACCTACTTTCAGTAGGAAGATTGTGTACGTAGCCTTCCCTCCTACTTAATGCCGAGAAAAACTGAGTATCAACAAATTCAGGCTCGATTCCATATAAGAACTGGGATATTTTTCCCCAGGTGTCAGAAGATGCAGTTGCAACATTCCCGTAGAAAAAATAAGGAGGCTTAGCAGCAATTTGATCAAGAATCCTGCATGAATTAGATTTGAATGGCTTTGCCATTCCGAATGTGGTAGTGTCAGGGTTAACCTTTTCTTCTACCCACTCAGGTTCAAAATAAGAACTTGAACCATGGTCATATTCTTGCTTTGGCTGTTCAACTGTACAGTTTTCCTCAAGGCCAGCATGCATAACCTGAGCTTCTCGATAGCCTTTAATGAGCTCTTGTCTTGGTCGTTTTCCTTTACGAGTTTCCTTGGTGTTCGTATCTCTTGACTTCAAAATAGCATCTCGTCTACAATCCTCAGTTTCTAACTTCACCGTACCAAAAGAGTGATGTCTTGCCTCGTTTTCTGTCTCCACACCAAAGGATCTGCTGTCCTCTCCAGCACTTGAGCAACTTGCTGTCGAATTTTCAGAATACTGCACAAGATAAAAGTTATATTATGGGTAACATAACTGATTAAAAGAATGAGAAGAAAACAGCATCCATAACATCGTCATGAGCAAGCAAAGAAATGGCACTACAACAATAATGCCAACAATTAACTTCAAGTTCCACAAGGACTTGGTTATGTGTGTTAAAGATGTAGGAAATAGCAAGAACACGATGCTCAAAAGTATCTGCCACTTTAACTCCTGCAAAGCATTATGTTTGCACTTTCGGGAAAAAAAGATAAAAAAAGGATTGAACTTCAACCTCAGCGGTGCCTAACATGTATATCTGGTCCTTAATAGTACAGTATAACAATTTTGACAGTATTGAAACGCTCATCAAAAGGCCAAGTTAAATAAACTTGAAGTACTTAATAATCAGTGCGAAGAATCAAACCAAAAGGCACTGTTAAAATTCAAAATAATGATTCTGTGAAGCTAAATTCAGAATATTGAACTGAAAAATTCAATTATAGATAAGGGGAGAACAAAATAACCTGCTTCTTTACAACATAGGTTTCTCCAAGTTGATGTGCACAAATTGCATTGGCAAGCTCTGTAATTGGAACTTTTGAACCTGAAAGAACGTAAATGATGATTAACTCAATTGCAATAAACTAAAATGGGAGGTGACCCTTGGTCAGAAAGAACCAATAGATAAAACAAAGACGATTGTTGCATATCTAATAACTAACAGCCAAAGCATTCTAAAAGATAACAACTATAACACTGTGGAGAACAGTAATTTAAAGGGAATGTCTATTTCCACATGTTAATGATACACCTAAATATTTTAATGATTATACTCAGATACTCCCTCTCTGACTTTATTTTTCTAGGTGATCAACAGTATTGTGCTTGCATATTATTCCACACAAGTACTGTTTTTGCTTTGCTATTTAATTACTTGGGGTTGAAAGGTGGAAACGCAAACCCTTAGTTTCCAAGAAACATGCACAAGGCCCCACAATATGCGTCTTGTGCCATCTTCATATACAGCGGTCCTTGAAATAAACCTGATCAACTATTAAGTGGCCAGCAGGAGTTCTAATCTTGCATCTTTAAATTTTATCGTCTTGTCTATTGACATCAGAAAATTGATTCTAAATATTGGCAAGAAAATCAAAGCAAATATCTCTTGAAAACATATTACACAAAGCGAAAAAGTGGGCGAGAAGGAGAACATGAAAGAACTTTTACAAACTTGAAGAACCGCCTCAAAACTATTGCAGAGCATCTGGGTAGGCCTAGTAACTTAAAACTGCAAAACTTTGGGCACAGTTTCAGAACCTCTGATTAATTTTTCTTACAAAAAATAAATGAGCTGCTCAGTCTTACAGAAGCTATTTGAAACTACTCAAAAGAGCTGAAGATGCAGAAGGACTTATCATATAAGTACTTTAAGGGTATAGAGGTAGTTTAGATTCCATTATATCTCATTATTAGAAGCTAGAGATTTGAAAACCTGGAAATATAATGTACCTTTTGCATCTCCAAATGGAATAGCATTCATAATAATCAAAGTAATGAACAATAACTACTCACCGAACTTATCAATAACCAACGAAACTTCATTTTCAGAGAAACCCATATCAAGCAAACAGAGTGTTTTGTCCATGGTTCCATATAGAGTTTCATCATTGGTATCCTGGACATCAACAGGTTAATCAATTATTGATAGTGTTCAAATGATATGTAAAAAAGATGCAACTAACAAAACAACACTTGACTAGATATGCTAGATATGCCATAAAAATTGGCTCTGCCACATTTCACAACTAAAAGTTACCATTCCATCTCATCTTTTACTTCGTAATAATCATCATAGTGTCAAGAGATCATGACACATGAGACAATTGTGATGAAGAATTCCACAAACCATTGTAACATATGAGCATCGAAGAAAGATCTATCAACTTCGCCTCCACACATCAGCCATATACCTTTGTGCCTCAACTCTATGTGTCTATGTAACAACTCCATACCTCTATACACACCTTTGTGCTTCAACTCATTATCTCTTTGCATCATGTTTTTACCTATATGCTTTAAGTCTATGCTTTTTCTGCTAAGTTCAAAACGTATGCATCAAGCTCAAGGCATCTACTTTAAGTACATGATTGTACTCACAATTCCACATTAGTACTCCAACTCCATACCTTCACACTCTTCCAATCTTATGCACCCACACAAACCCAAGCACTAAATGTCTTATGCGCTCCAACCCCCACTAACTAATAAAACATCCTTATTGTTGAAGCAGTAAGAAACCAGGAAAAAGGACACACTTCTATCTTGCTTGTAGGAGATATCGAATTTTTATCTGGTCCAACATCACCTGTGCACATCATACCAGTGCCCCATCCGCCTAAGTCAAAGTAATGGATAGCTTTGAATTGACTACATTGTGGATGGTGCATAGATGTCAAAATATTTCCCTCACTTGTTTTTCTCACCTCAATGTGGTACTTGAAGCATACCTTTGTCATGTCATCTGACATAGATGTCGAAATACATATATGTATACGGCCACTAGATGAATGAGAACAACACAGTTGCAAAACTGTGGTATCACCCACGTCCCATACCAAAATATATATATTTGAAAACACAGACATGAAGGTGATTTTCAAATCCCAAGAGCCCAATAACATTATAAGTTGCACTGTTAGTTATGCTCATAACCTCCAAAAATGACAATGAAAGCACACCTCTTTTTTCTCCACTTCAATATTATGCATATCCTCTGTTTCCCTGTCAAGATTATTAGCTATCTGGGCAGCAATGATAAAGTCCATTATTTCATTGATTGGAGCATTCTCACCTGTAACAATATGAGATCAATATAACTGTCTGATTAACTATATTTTTCTGATTGGTTTTTAGAATTATTAGAAAACCAAAGTAGGCAAAGAGAAAGTGCAGTTGACACAGACAGCCGATTTTCATAGATTAACTATCTACAAGGAGAACAAATTAAGTTGGAAAATGGGATCAGAAAAAGACCAACAGAAATCCTTTGAAGAAGAAAATATTTGCAAGAAAACTATTATGAAATCAAAGTGAGTGATATGTTCAAAGAAGCCATCACATTAGGGAAACAGGGGATGCTAAATAACCATGCAGCCAAACAGACTAGTCGTAATCATTTAAAATCACATTAAAACTTTTGCAGCAGCAACAAATGCAAGATAGAGAGTTAATAAACACTGATGAGCTTCCAAAATATATCGGTTCTTCTATTGATGGAAGAAAATGTTTCCAACATGCATCAGTATAAAAGAACAGTTAACTATTCATGGTCTGAATGCAAGTTACAGGTCTATCTCATAGCAAACCAAAACCAAATAAGAAGTTCAGTAACTCACCAAGCTTATCCATTGCAAATTCAACTTCCTGGGGAGGGAAATTCATCTTCAGTAAGGACAACCTTTTGTCATCATAAACATCATCAAATACATCCGGCTCCTACAAAAGATTGAAGACCAACCATATCAAATCCAGCAATAGCATATGGTCAAAGATCACTGTATAAAATGATTACAAGTCAAATCATCCTACTGAATGCTGATTAAATCAAACTTGTCAATTTTGATAACAACAGAAACCAAGCTTCACATGAACAAAAAGTTCAAAAACATAAAAAAATGTAAACTTTAGCAAGGAGATAATTTTTAATGGAAACGAGAAACATCATAAGATTTTATGAAGATGCGCTGTTAGTGCAACTATTTGGTGCATTTTGATGGAGAGAATGAAAGGATTTTTAGTAACAAGTTCACATGAAGGCAGTTGTTGTGGGATAGTATAGTCCTCTTGGCTTCTTTGTAGTGTCACACTTCTTGTTGTGGGATAGTATAGTATAGACTTCACAGCATGCCTTGTTGCTTTGAAGTAGTTAGCTGTTTCTTCTTTTTGCTATTTGGAAGGATGTTGTGTTATCCCTTTCTTCTTTCAAATAAAATTTTCTTTAAAAAAAAAATAATGTAAAATTTAGCCTAACAAAAAAGAGGAGATTAGTGGTGAGATTATAAGTGGGCACAAACAATGATATCTAATTTATCTAAATGGATTGCACAAAAAGATTGCCCTCTTTAGTTCTTAGCATGTCCCTCCAAAACAGAGCCCTCACAGTAGCAAAATGCCATTATCTAAAGGAACTTCCCTTACTTATTGCAAAGAAAGTTGTTGTGTATGTCTTAATTGCTATGTAACATCCGAAACTTTTCTAACTATCAAACATTCTATAGTACATATAATGAATAACTAGAAATAAAATAGGAACCAAAACTTACCAGGTGGAATAACGAGGTGGTGAGAGTTGAAAGATTTATAATGCAAAGAATATGAATTGGAGAAAATTTTTGTGTGGAAGTGCTCAATAATAGTTATGCAGATTAAGAGACACTTCATAAGACATTTTGGAACTGAACCTGAGGGTATTGGCCTAGATACTCTAACACCTAGCTTCGAGGTGAACTAGATGACAGCTGACCTGGTATAAACACTAAAAGTTCAAAAAATATTACCTCTTTTACTTCAGTAACTGTTGAATACTTTGGAGGATTGCTTGCCCCGCTATCATCAAACAAGCAATCTAAAGAATCTGATGACTGAGAGTTCGGCTTTTGAATATCCTATTTCATTCCAAACAATGTCAACCAACAGCAGTTAAAAGTAGTTCAGAAATTTTCCTGAAAAGCTCTATCTATAAATTACAGACTAGGAAGTAGTAAAATGCACTGATCATTACAGGAAAAAAAAAAACATAAAGAGTTTCCAATATTTTCAAGATATCTCATAAAACAATTGATAGAAACAATACTTTTATTTTTATTTTGTGGGTGAAAACACAATATTGGTGGCGCAATTCAGATTGGTTAATGCTGCCAGCAAACACCTTGTTGTAACAAGTTGACATAAATCACAAAAATGTGTTTGCTTTTGGCAAACAGATAGCTTGGATACGAACCATTAGCTACTTCATGAAATTGTAATTAAAAGGTATTCAACACTGATTGATGAACAAAACATGAAAAAATGTCCTGATGAATACAGAAGACAATCCATTTAAAGAATCTGGCAAAGAAGCAAACACAGAGTTAAAAAAATTAAAGCAAAAGAAACAGGATGGACGTTCCGATTCCAAAACCTTCTTCAATGAGTCAAAAACAACTTTGGTATTCTCAAAAAAAGACTGATAAAAAAAAAAAAAAGATGCCATTGATTTATTGATTACTTACAGAACATTCCATGAGAATCTCCAATAACAAGTCAACATTGTCTTCACCTAGATTAAGAGAAGATACTCACCAATAAAAATCGACGGAAAATCATTTATATATCATATAATTACTCAGAAAATAATGGAAGTTGGATAATGAGCATAAGCAAATTTATCCGGGTTTGCAACTAATTCCTGGTGGCCAAATCCTGGTTGTATCAAAAATATTTCTTCTTGTTGTATCAAAAACACACAATGCCGCTCCCATATCCATTTCCAATTCTATCAAGGAAAAGGGTGATAAAAGAATGTTTATGTCCATTCATAACATACCATTTTCTTCAATCACTCTGTCGACAAGAGACTGCGAGTACCCCATTTCAGTGAAAAATGATCTTAAATAGCTTCGAGATGAACTTGGTACACCATCCTGAAACAATACAACATGAAATCCTTCAGCATAAGCATTTAAATATAAAACCAACAACTAAGTCCGCTCTTTTTTTCACTGTAAAAACATACCCCAACTTGAGTTGACTGAAGACTCTCAATTGGCAAATCAAAATCCAAACTCTCATGCTTTGGCTCTATTAAATTCTTATTATTATTCCTATCGCTGCCGCTGCTGCTTCTTCTATTTAGATCCTCCTGTAGTAAATTAACCCACATTTAACTCTCTCTCTTTACACCCATAACTAAATACGTTAATCCAGTCCCAATCAATCAAACAGTTAAAATTTCACTTACCATTTCAAAAAAACACTGCCTTTACTTCAATAACCTTTCTGCTCGGCAATCAATTTTAACTCATAAATAAATTGAGCCACCTTTCCCTTCCGTCTCTGCAATATGAATACAATCATGAAATGAAATTAATCCATCCGATTCATTTTAAGTGCATGCAATGAAATTGTAGTGGTCTGCGGCATACCTGATAGGAGAAGGACGAACGGCGAGTCGGTTACCGATCGGTGAAGATTTCCTTGAGAAACGAACTGAAACAGTTCCTGGGTTGTGTTGCGTTGGGTACGAAATTCGTTTTTTGATGGCGTAAATTAATTATTAGTTCCTGGGTCTTGAATTTGATTATAATTTAGTCCCTTATTTTTTAAACAATTATATCTAACGGCCTTTAACTTTTGTTTACCATTGTCATATTATAAGTTTATGACATCTTGGTTTTTCTCCATATCCTGATACATATTTTTTTATCTTAAGAACTTAAGTTTTTAATGTTCACATTTGAGATTTTGAAAAAAACCAACGGATTTGTTGATAAAAAAGATCAATTTGTAGGTTTTAACAAATTAAGGACTAATTTATTTATATTAAAAAACTTAGGGACTAAAAATAATTTACTCTTCCTGTCTTGCTTGGGTTAAGCAACGTAATGCATGATATGCACGTGGCTGTGGGAAATATATATATTGGTTGCCTTTGCTCCAGGAGAATTTGAGAAGTCAATTTTTTCAATAAAATTTTAAGTTTTAATATGCATGTATAAGAATTAAAAAATTAAGATTATTAGTTGCATGACTTTTTTATTAGTTGTTGATTGATTCTATAATCATGCAGCTCCCTTTTTTGGAATTCTATTTTTTTTTCATAGCTGTATATTATTTTCTAAGTCTTTTTAATTTTGCTCTTCAGTTGGGTTCTCAAGGCTAGAGTTACTTGTTTTTTGCTCTTTGATTGTGTTCTCAAAGTTAGAGCTACAAGTTTTTAAGTTAGGGTGAAGCTAGAGGTGTAAATTTCTAAATCATGGACAGTGTAAAAATAATACACTAAATTAATAAAAATTTTATACAAACTGACAACTTCTTATTAGTTTGAGAAATTATTATACAATCTGGTGTAAAATTTGTGATAATGGAACAAACCAATTAAGTTTTTTTGCATTATTTTTTGAAAAATACATTATTAATTATTTCTTTTTATAATTATGAATTTGCTCTTAAATGTGAAAAATCATATTCTAAATTTGATTTACACAAATGGATGATTTGAATATATTTAATTATTTATAGCAATTCTATTGATGTAGTTAGTGATTTTAGATAATCCACCGTTGATTTTATCCATAATTTTAAATGATGTACTCCTTCACACGCTTAGACTCATAAAACAACCAAGCAGCTGACCATCCAATCAAAACGAAACTGCACAGACTAATAAATAATTCCATAAACTTTGTTGGTTTCATCAACTTCCTTCTGGGTCTTCTCTTCACATCGTCTAGAATTTTATTTGACTTGGCTCCCGACTTTGGTCTCCTCTCAGAACATTTGATAGCCGGATTTCACTTTACAGTAATCCAAGCAATCAGAAAACAGACTAGCAGTTGATATTCACCTCCAGCGAGTACTTCCCGCAACTGAAACCTTAACCTCCTAATTTTTTAAACCTGTTCAAAAAATGATTATGATTATGATAATAGATAGCTGCTTATTATGATAATAAAATAATAATCATAATAATCAATATTATGAATATATTAACAATTTTTGATAAATTTATTCTAATTCATATATTTTTAACAGTTTTACTAGTTAGACATACTAATTAATAATAACATTTTTAATAATTTAAGATCATACAATAATAGTTGAGTTTATTATTAAAAAAAAGAAGTTAATAACACTTTTAATAAATTAATAACACAAAAAAATATAAAAATATTATAATTTCTATATGGATATTACAAAATATTTATCTCCAAAAAATCGTCATGGAGAATCATAATAATAATTATCATCTTTTTTTTTCATCAAAATTTTCATGATGTTAATTTATTTTTGGAACTTTTTAAATTTTCAAAACAAATTCAAAAATAACATAAAATTGAAGAAAAAAACTAAATAATAAGTTTTTAAAACAAGAATTACCAATTAATTTACTTTTGGACTAATTTATAATTTACTCAATTAAACTAATTTATAATTACTCAATTAAAGCCTGCTTTGTAGGCCTTTGACTGGTAGTGACAGAAAAAATAGAATAATAAAAAGTAAATTACACATTAATCGCTCTAGTTTTGATAAATAAATCAATTAATCCTTAATGATTTAAAAAATATTTTTTTAATTTTTTAATCAATATTGATTGTGTTAATTTAATATATTTTATTTCACAAAATATTTTTTTCATCAAACTATTCATATGATGTGAATTTATGTTTTTATTTTTCAAAATTTTTAAAACAAAAGGAAAAACAAATTAAAAAATAACAAAAATGAAAAAAAAAAACTAAATTATTGGCTTTTAAAATAAAAAAGACTAACTAAATTAATGTTTCAAAATAAAAGGATTAATTTATAATTTATTCAATCGAAGCCTTCAAATAATATTTGATTCTTATTCTCTTGCTATGAATCACGTGGGTCTCTTCTTTACTTAACTCTGTCCCAAGCAATCCCCCTCTCGCTTAGACGTTCTAACAGCCGGATTTTAGCTTTGCTGGGTTTCCCTAGAAAGAAGGTGAATTCACACATGCACGGGGGACATTCATTACCAGAAGATGATTAAAAATCTTACCCACGCGGAAGAAGCAAACTCTTTATCTTATAAAGTAGCAACGAGATCCGGTCCCATACCTGCTCTTTCAGTGACATTCGATGGAGATCCATTTCAAGGTAAGCAAGCTAGCGCAGGTCTGATCCCTGGTTACCCAAATCGACTCTTTACAAGATGGCTTTCTGGGTCACGTCTCTGTCTCTGGCTGAATTTCAGCCACTGAAACAGTTTTTTCTTTTCTTTAATATAAATTCGTATAATGTGTTACATAACGATAAATAACAGTATTACATAATAATAGCACCATTATTTATCATTATTTCAAAACATTTGTAACATCCGATAACGAAATCTCTGTTACCATTATATAACGACTGTTACCTTATGTAACAGTTGTTTTTTTTAAATTATGTATGAGCTTGTCTTCCCGGCCATATATAATAAGAAGAAGAAGAAGAAGAAGAATAAAATAAAAAAGCACAAAACCTCTTCATAGAAATCCAAATGTAAAAATTTAGCACGTAGAACAGTGGCATCGTTGGTTTCTCCAATTCAGGCAACAGGTAGTTACTACAAAGTCTGCATTTTCACAGCAGAAACTGACCATGCCTAACTTGTGCTGGAGCAACCAATCCAGTTGACAGTAATCTTTGAAAAATGACCCATGAACATCAGAGCAATCAGCACTCAAACCCAGTGGAAGATACCATTCAGAATTTCCCAGGCAAACACCACCCTCAATGTTTTCCTTTTCTTTCCATAACAGGTAATGACCACATACAGCTCTTATTCGACATCTGAGGTGATGAAAACGACTAATTCACCATCAACCAGCTCTTATTCACTTTATGCCCATATCATAAAGACAGAACTTCCGGCATTTCCGCAATTTCAAAATATCTAATTTCATGCAGGAGGCACAGCAAGAAAAACAAACTTGAAATTTAATCAATCGTAAATTGCACATGACATAATTCTTTGATTCTTTAATTGAAGGAGACGAAATTGCACGGTAGTTTTCCTTTTAAAGTAGCAATAACAAATATCCCCCAACCCCAAATAAATCCAAAAAAAAACAATTAGTAGATCCAAAAGCTGCTTCAAATAAAGTAAATAAAAGAAAAATGGGGGGGGGGCAAAAGCAAGCAAAGGTTTGACCAAAACAACTCAAATTTCCCAACTTCTACAGCAGCCCACATCCCTATATCCCCCCACTCTTGATTACAATTATCCGCTATGCCAAAACTACTACGTAGAAAATGATCAACACAAGAAAACCCAGTTAATTGCAAATCTTCCATGTCATCTTTACTGAGACCCTTGTTTACCCAAAGCACCATCTTTGTCCAGTTGTAGAGACCTAGGATCAAGTGGGATAGCACCCACTGTTAGAAAACCAGAAGATTCAGGCCTTCCATTAACTTTAACAGGCATTGATCCTACTGTGACAATGTCAGCAGATTTGTTAGCCACATTCGGCCCGGAATTAGATTCAGTCTGTTTCGGGTTTATATCAAGTGAGCCGATCTTCAACACAGATCCAATATCATCTGCATCTACTGAATCTTGCCCAGAATTTTTGCCCCTGCTTGAATTGGTAATGTTTAAATCAGAAGAAAGTTGCTCAGTGGCAGAGGTCCCAGTGTTCTTCAAGCTGTTAAGATCATTCTGATCCATAATCTTCTCATCTTTGTTTGTCTCAGTTTTCTTCCAGCTGTTACAACCATTTGGATTCATAATCTTTTCATATTTGTTTCTCTCTGTCTTCTTCGAGCTGTTAAGATCATTATGCTTCATACTCTCATCTTTGTTCGGTGGCTGCTGCACGAGACCATTTAGCTCATTAGCAGGATTTAACGCCGGTATGAACAATGGAGATCGTAAGCTTTTAAACATAAGCCTGGCTTTTTCTTCCTGCATAATTTTCTGGCGATTCTCATAGTATATGAAGTCATCAAGTATAGAAGTCTTCGGTCGATGATTTTTGAATATTTTCAGCATCTCTAAACCTTGCTTATGCATGATCTGCAAGAAGTGGAAATCCAATTAGAAGAAATAACCAACAGAAGGCATTTACCAGACAATCTAAGGGAAAAGGGCATGCCCGTAAACAAAGCAAAAAACATAACCCTGGAGGAGAAAAAAATTAGGTAATT